GGAATAAGAAATTTACTGAAACAATGTTAAAACTTGGTTTGAAACCTTCAAAAACTGACCAGTGTGTATTTTCCACTAAAGACAAAACAATAATAATTGCTATTTATGTAGATGATGGATTGGCTATAAGTAAAGATAAAGCAAAGTTAATGAATATATTACATCACTTAGAGAAAGAATTTAAAATAAAAATTTATGAAAAACCTACAAACTATGTTGGATTTGAAGTGACTAAAACAAAAGAAGGAATATTACTGCATCAACAAAACTATACAAAGAGATTACTTAAAAAGTATAATATGTCTGAATCTAAACCTGCAAGTACACCAAGTAACACTGACAAGAAAAAGGAATTGAGAAATATAGATTCGTCAAATTTTCCTTACAGAGAGTTGGTAGGAGGATTGCTATACTTATCTACAAGATCAAGACCAGACATAAGTCAAGCGGTAAACGAAGCAAGTAAGAAAATTGAAAATCCATCTCGAGAAGATATAATTGCTATAAAGAAAATACTAAAATATTTAAATGGAACAAGAACTAAGGGATAATGTACAAAACAGGAGGAAATATTACACAATTAGATGCATACTGTGTTTCAGACTATGCAAGCTGTATTGAAACTAGACGTAGTACTACAGGGTTTGTCATAATGTTAGCTGGTGGACCTATATCGTGGTGCTCCAAGAGACAACCAATAGTTTCTCTTTCGTCAACAGAGGCGGAGTATATTGCAGCTTCAGATTGTTGTAAAGAATGTTTATATTTGAAATCATTTTTAAGTGAACTAATAGATAGTAACATAAAAGTTGTATTGAATATTGACAATCAAAGCTCAATTCAGTTGATAAAAACTGGTTCTTTTAGTAAAAGATCAAAACATATTGATGTGAGATTCTATTTTATACATGAAAATTATAAAAAAGGGATAATAGACATAAAATACTGTCCAACAAATTTACAAATAGCTGATATGTTTACAAAGCCTTTGTTTAAAGATAAATTTGACTTTCATTCTAAAAGAGTTGTAAAATAAAAAATCAGAAGTTTTAAATAAGAGATAAGTAAAAGAAATTTGTTAATTTAGAAATTTGTTTGTAATAAAATTGAAAAGAATATAAGTATTTTTAAATTTGTTAAAATTTTAAAAATAGGAGAAGGTGTTAAGTGTGGCAACTAGAAGTGTGAGTTGGCAACACTGAGTTTAAAAAATAGGAAGTGCTAAGAAATATAAAAAATATGGAGGACATTTTGTAATAAGCTGTTAAATTAATAAAGTTAATATAGAACACATAAAAGCATATGATTATTCTCTCTTTTCCTCTGTGCCTGCGAAACCGCGACAGGGTCGTCATACCGGGCTACCGCACGCACCTTTCGGTGTGTGAGGTGGCTGGGCCCGGGCGGGGCCACTATCGGAATCACGGCTAAGTTATGGTGAACCCATGACCGGTCTGACTTATTTGGGCTCGACATCGACGGTAACCGGGGCTTTCTGGGAAGGGATTCATGAGGGTTCAGCCCAGATGTATCCCTCTATGAGACGGGTTAGGGTGGGAACAAAGGGCAGTTTGGCGGGTTACGCGCTCGCCGGGCATTGCACCTTGTGTCTGGGAGGTTAGACTCCTGATATGTTCCTGAGCTTTCCCTTCAACCCGTGGTAGGACCCGCCCCGTAAAAGGGGTGGGTCTTAACACGGTCGATTAGCGCGGGATATGACCTCATTTTGGTGCCGTTATCGTGCGTTGTCCGTGTCGTGAGGGACATAGGTGGGTTTTAGTGAGTATGCCCCTGCCTTTGACTGGCCGCCATTCTGGGGTGGGACCGCAGGGGAGTTCCACATAACTCGCATTGAGTGAACCGAATATGCGTTACGCATTTTTACCCGTCAAAAAAAAGGTATTTAAGTCCTGCCGCTGTCGCATATATTGACTTTACGCAGCTGGGACCAACATGAATATTATCGACCAGACACACTAGTTGCGTAGGTAGACCAGACTTTTATAGATAAGATAATATAATTATAATATTTATCTTATATCTACAATTTAGGAATAAAACAAATATAACCCAAACAATGATAGTTACCTTGCATAGATTTAATGGTTTCCAATTAGGGATTCCTCTTTTTTGGATTATGTTTTTATTCCCAATAAACATTGACATAACTATTTCTGTTTTTGGCATGCACTTCATGATAGCATAATTACCTTTTAAGCTTATATTTATTTAATTTCCCTAATCTTTCTAGGTATAAAATAACTACCCCTTATTTTGTAACTCTCGCAACTTCTGGGGAAAACGGAAATGAATTGCTCACAGAGCTCTGTGGACAAGCAGATATTTATGAATCGAATACGAAATACAGTTTATCGCTACTATATTTTATATTTGATCAATTTTGCGTTCAGAGTTATTGATATTTGGGTGGTTCTACAAAGTAAGGAATTTTCGTCGACTCAGTTAAAATATGATCAAAAAATTGTTAATAATAGTATTTTTTTTATGGAATACTGTTTATTACAATTGTTTCTAGATGGTCACTTAAAAATAATTAAGATTTACAATTCTTTTCTGAACAAAATCACTGTTCAAAGTGCCGAATTCTCAAGATCCTGCAGTGTCCCTCATGCAAATTTTAGTTAAAATTGCGTCGTAACTCATTTACTTCTGCATTTTGGTCTTAAATTAAACCCTATTTATTAAGTTTGCTTTATCTCCTCACTAGATAGAACAATTATTATAAGGTTTACTTAAAAATATGTTGAATAAATCTTGTTATATTTTGTGCCCCCGACTTCATGTCAGAATCCTGTACGCTGTAAAACATGTAAATATTAACTAGGCTATTAGCCTTGTGGCGTTACTGTTCCGCTAAGTCGATAGTACCTACGAAAAAGACAAAGAAAATCATGTAAATGTGCTAATACTAAGTTTGAAAGAAAAGCTTAGCAAATACACAAAAAGATGTCAGAGATAAAAAAAAAAAACAAAACCAACAACTAGAGCTTACACCTAAAATTTGATTTACGCATTGACCAAGCTTGCTGAAGATCCAATGACACGGCTAGAAGTCGTAAAAAAGGATTTATTTGGTGATATATTGGAAAAGCAAATATCTAATAATATGTATATCTAATCTGAAAACTCGTCAAGAGGAGAAAGTAGCAATCAAATTACTTTTGGGCTAGATTGCGAATCCAGATAAGGCTTGGAAGTTGAAAAACAAGTTTATAACTTATAAAAAGATGTGGAGTCAAGAAACAAAAAACGCTGCAATGAAACAAAAAAGATAGTTCATATGATTTTGAATGACGACAAGTACAGTAAAATATGCGCAGACAAGAAATAATTTATAAGAAATAAGGCAATTTAACAAAGGTACAAAGACACTACAGGTTAGACACATTGAGAAATCTCCACTAAGGATATATGGAAAAATTGATTTATAACAATCAACAGAATTTAAACGCTTATAATTGGACACTTAAAGTACATCAAGTACAGGGCAGTTATTTCATGGCATGAAAGCTACAAATGAAATCGATGAGCTGTTTTTGAGATGAAGGATGATGTGTAAACATTACCGGATGAGCTTACTAGAGTATGCTGCAGAATTACGGCAAATTTTCAAAGACGTCTACGAAAGTGAGACGGAATCAAAAGATCAGCCTAATGATATGAACGTTGCAAACGATCTTACTTTAAATTTAGAGAAACCAGAAGTTTTATCCAATATGCCTAATGCCAAATGACAAATTAATATTAAGAAGAAAATTTAAAAATTTGTGATAAAGTGATTGATCTCGATTGATTTTTGTTGTTTTCCTCAGTTTACTGGTGACACTCAATTTTCTGTGACTTGATTTTTTTAAATGACCATATATCAAAAAATATTAAATATTTTGACTGTAACTTTTAGGATAAGTTAAAAGACATTATAATTTAATTATTAGACTGATTTCTGTCAACAGAATGTATAAAAAATGTCAGGCCGAAATCAGACTCGAATTCTTCCTTAGTTTGTAGAACTACCCATTTATCTTAAGACCTATATTACATCTAAGCTGAGATTTTTGGCATTCTTGTTCTCGGAATCAAAAAAACATCAATAATTAGCATGGGGCTTCGCTTTTTGTAAACTCAAAATTGCAAATATTTGCATAAAATGCGCGACTGCAATTATTTAATTCTTATGAAACATATCTGATAAGATAGTAAACTTTGTAATATATATATCATGTTTAAAAATACAGTTTTCAGTATTGGTACTTATGTTGCGATACTCGTGAGTGTCATATGTATCTTACAGAATTGGAGGAAATTACATAAGAAAAACAAACAAAAGCGGTAAGAGAGTTTTTTTATGTATAATTAATGTAACGTTCTAACGCCGATATAATTCTAAAAGTAAACCTTTGAACATTGAAACTTTTTTATTTTTATTTAGCTTTTCGCCGTGGATTCGCCCGCGTGGTCCTGTATTATCCATATAAATTTTATTTTATATATTATACATATATGTTATATAAATTCTAATCATTCTATATATTGATAAAAAATCAATCGCTTTAATGAAAACGGCGTTTAAATCCGTTGCGTAGTTTAAAAGATCTCAAGACAAATGTATTTTTTAAAATAATTGAATTTAATAAATATAAACGTTTCTGTAAAATATAAAAAAAAAAATTGTATGGTGAAGGTGTCCGATAGTATTGTTTTGAAGTTATTCTTGATTAAAAAGACAATCAACACCTTAGTCTTGTGTGAACACGAAACCTGTAAAGAGGGTCCGAAACATTAATACAACTAAATACGAACGCGATGAAACCCTTTTAAAGTTTAATTTAAGGATAGTGTGCGTGAAAATATAAGAAATCAATATTCTATTGGTGACTTATACTTACGTAACTTTTACTCGACTCGACTCGATAGATACGAGAGATATATCGAAGTATTAAAGGATATAAGTACCTAAAGTATAATTTTATTTTCAGAATATGCCACAACTTTGGTTAGTATTAGCCGGCCTAGCGTCCTTATGTGGCTGCGACGCTTTCAAAATTCTCGTAGTTTTTCCGATGGCAAGTAGAAGTCACGGCATTCTCGGTGATGGATTAGTACGACTCCTGGCTGAAAGAGGACATGAGGTAGTCAGATGAATTGCTACATGATCATACTGCTATGAATATGAAAACATTGCAAATGTCGGCCAATGATTCTCGGCCTGGAAAATAATACTATGCATCTAAGGATATTTATGAACACGCATAAAAGTTTGAGGTGCCATCATCGGAATTTTTAGACTTACAATCACTGGAAAAAAAATCTTTATAAAGTTTGATTCATTGCCAAACTAAAAGAGGATCAAGTCAGTGAAAAAAATCCATTTTATTGACTGTTACCACCTTAATACTTATTTTAAATATTGACTTATTTTAATTATGTTACAGATTACGTACATAACAGCGTTCCCGGTCAAAAGGTCTCACCAAAATGTCACCCAGATCGACGTGTCCGGCTTAGAATTCCAACTGCCAGGTGATAACTATTTCGGAGCCATTACTAAACACCATTGCTGAGATTTTTGTCGCTTCTTCTTTCAAGGTCTCCCGTCGTTGCTAACCGATGGCATAGCCTTCGACTTTCAAAAGTGCTTGTAACAGCCTAGACTGGATAAACGATATTAAATGAAATCATGTAAGTAAAACCAGTCCGAGTAGTTTCTAAATTCAAATTCAAAATCATTCATTCAGCCATGGCTATAAGCACTTATGACTCGATGGGTAAAATAAGAGGACATAAAATTTTAACGATTATTCAAACTATTAATTTTACCACAACAACATCTAAAATATGCAAATAATAGGCGTGTAGAAAAATTTCATACTTACCTACATATTTGATAATCTATTTAAACAAATTGAACTCAAAAAATGCGTCACACCATGTGCTGGCAGAAATCAGCCTGAAAAAAAGAAGCAGATGTGCGCTGGCTGAATTTTGCCACAAAAACTAAGAAATATCACTTTCTCACCTTACCCCATCCTAGCATGGTTAAAACGAAACTTTGGTGGTAATGGAGGTGTGCGAGAGACAGGAAGAGGTCGGGGTGAGTGGAAGCTGGGAAGTGCCCTGAAACGGAGAAGGAATTTTCCTTCGCTCTGCGGCTGCGGCGCTGTCGGAGTCCTGGTTCATACTTTTAGATAGATAGATAAAGTCGTTTATTTGCATCACAAACACTCATAGATACATGTAAGAGAAATTATAACTATATTATAAAATGAAAGTAAATTAAACAGCAACACAAACACAATTATGACACATGTAAAAAATTTATAGTATGTATTACAGCAACGTAAATAGGCGATATGACAAAAACGACCATGAAGTCAAATCTTCGTTCATTTTCGATACGGCATCAGATATCATGTTAGGTTTTTCAGATATGTAGAGCTGAAAATCATCAGCATAACAATGAAACTTACAATATTTAATTACGCCATGAAGATCCGCACTATAAATGATAAATAAGAGTGGTCCAAGTAGGGATCCCTACAGCACTCTCATACACATTACACACACAGTTACTCAACCACACACTACACTTTACACACTCAATCACACTTACACAGTTACACATACGCTATCATACACTCACATTCACACACAACTACCCGCCACCGTACTCGTCTGGGGTGGTATAGTGGGTACTTACCTGGGGACTTATCAGCTCTACTTAGCTGATGGCTGGTGCGGTGCTTGGACCTTGGTAGCGCCATAGCTGCGGCGCGACGAAAGGGGGTGCGACCCATCTACCGGCTGGACTCGCCCTGTCTGCTCCTTGGAGCTGATACAGGCGTGTTGAGGCTAGTCTTCTGTTTCGCATCGATCCATGGGGAGGAGGATCCACGATAAGGGTTCTTCCTGTGTGGTCCCTCGTGTCTCCGTGCATCGCCTTCCATGCGAGGGCCATCGCTGAGTTTTAGTGGGTAAACTCCTGCTTTTAGTCTAGCCCCCTTTGGGGGTGGGGCCGCAGAAGGAGTCCAACATGACCCGCCAACCCTGCGCTGGGGGAGCGGACATACGTAATGCATTGCTCAGCGTTAAAAAAAATGTGGTAATGGGGGCATAGTTTAAGGGACTACTTAGCTTAGGAGACATCTAGTTAGAAGATACTCAAAGCAAATAGTTCTCGCCGCCCGCCGCCGGTCGCTCCCTTTGTACATTTTCGCTTCAATTATTAACCATACTGAATGGATTGACTTCGGGTTTTTATAGTATTCTCAGATATATTATCGAGTTGTTAGATATATTTGTATTAAAAAGTTTTTTTTTAATACAGCTTTGAGTATTCACAATGATGATATACTTTTGACATATCGTGAAAATGAGGGTATATTTTTAACAATATTTTTTTCTTTTTTCAATTTCTTAAGTTTTTGTTAGTTTAGTGATTACACAACAAAAAATATAAGAATCCACTTTTTCCTATCAAAATATCAATAAATAGGATGTTAGGCTATCGAAGGCTCTTATTTTTCGGCTCGATAATATTCAATTGACGATTATATTCGGAAAACGGGCATAAGAAGTTTATAATATTCCTGGCTTTCAGAGCCTTTATATAATTTGGGCTGATTATGTGTCCTGTATCCAGGTATTAAGGGCCGGTCATAGGATGGGTCATTAAAATTTTTATCAACTTGTGCTTCAAAAGGCACGTTAAGCCGTTGGACCTGGTTGCATCTCCAGTACTCAACACTCCTCAATCTGCATTGGGCCTGCGTAGAGGGTCTATTTTTCCAATTCAGTTCGATCCCATTTCACCCATAGCTTAAACCTGTACCCTCAACAAATAAATAGGCGGGTGATGATGATATTTTTAATTTTAATTGCAGTGGGAAACGTATCAGCTATATTGAACAAAGAAGAGACCTATTCCGACATAACAAAATTTATCAAAATAATGACTAACTTACATTCAGCCGCAATATCAAATGAAAATGTTCAGAATATGTTGAACGATCCGAAGCAGACATTCGACTTAGTGATAGCCGAATGGCTCCTAATCGAGTTATATGCTGGGTACGTCATTAAAATCTATAAAAACTAAAAAAAATAGAACCCTTTAATAAAATGATAAATAGTACTTATGTCAAAAGCTACTTATTCAAGAAAATGCCATTGAAGTCGGGCGGGCGGAGGTCGAGACTTCGAGGTAATTAATTAAATGATAGGCGCTAGACTTCAATAACATTTCTTGAATAAGTAGCTTTTGAGATAAGTACAAGGTTAGCCAGTGAAACGGGAAGATTTAAATAAGTAACTAATTCTTTAAGAAAATTAACTTTATTATTTAATCTCCAATCTTCCCGTTTCAGTGGCTAACCCTGTATTATAATTTCATTTTTTTTAAGTTTGAAGTCGGTTCAATTTTTTTAAAGTTTTTATTCCATAATTTTCATAATTCCATAATTAATGGATATTTCTTTAAATAATAGGTAACACTTTAAAATATTAAATATCTATATAAATAAAAATATTCCACTAAGTGAAATTCTTAGAAAAGAAAATTTTGTTTATATGTTCGGCAAAATTTTTCCAATAATTCTATACTTATATTATAAAGAGGATTGTTTGCTAAGTTTGTTTTCATTGGATACTCCGAAACTATTGGGATTGGGAAGCTACTTACTACACGTTGGACATAGCCTATAATTTACGAAATATTTTTTTATGATGTTTATTTATTTTGCAGTTTCGCAGCTGTCTACGAATGTCCTTACATCTGGTTGTCTTCTGTTGAACCGCATTCAAGGATACTCAGTTTGATAGATGAGGATCTCAATCCAGCCTACAATCCATCAATCGTATCTACAGCAATTCCACCTTTTACCTTTGTTCAACGTGTGAAGGAACTAGCTTTCCATATCGTCAACGGTGTGTTAAAAACTTTGTAGGTGAATATAATTTGATTTCTACCAACATAATAAGATTGTACTATTTCTGCATCAATGGAAGTATTTGACCTTTTTCGTTTCGCTTGCCCATTATTAGTACAACAATATAAATCAATAATTTAAATTAAATACTTAAAAAAACACGGCTGTCAAAACTAATAAAAATAAGTCCTACCTATCAGGCGTAAAGGTTTAAAATTTTCATAGCAGTCAGGAACGTCGTTACTTATATAAATAAGATTTCTGCCAGCGGCTTCGCCCACGTGGTTCTGTATGAGCTATACATATAAATCTTCTGTTTGAATCACTTTGTATATTGAAGAATCACGCATTAGAAACCGTTGTTTAGTTTAAAGACCTTAGCGTATAGACAGTGAGAAGCGACGTTGTTTAATTATTCCACCGAACGGTCTTTTACTTAGTTAGTTTATGGTAGTCGTGTCTTTTAAATTATTGATTTTAAACAACTCGGTGACCCAGCAAACGTTGGTTTTCCGTATAAATTTGGGACGGACCACCCTTATGACTTTGGGATATAAAAAAAGATAACAACCTATTTTGAGACCTAAAATAAAATAGTATAAAATTTTATCAAAATATGTCAAGTCGTTTCAGAGGTGTATCTTAACTAAAACTGTGACACGATAATTTTGTAGGTATATTAAATTTATAAGAATCCCATGTGTAAACATTTTTATTAGTAATATTCTGATCTTAATTTTTACGTTCATAGCGCATTTATATATTTTTTTAAATATCAACCACTTTGCAGCTATTTTGAGAGGATAGATAACGAAGAATATGAAAAGCTATTTGGCAAATTAATAAGGGAAAAGGGCAGACCTGTTCCTCCGTTTTCGGAGGTAAAGTATAATGCCTCACTAGTTTTGGGCAACTCACACGTGTCATTAGGCCGGGCCACCAGGTTGCCGCAAAATTATAAGCCCGTTCGAGGATACCACATCGATCCTGTGATCAAACCACTACCAGAGGTAAGAATATTCTTGTAGCAAAGACTCCTATCTAACGGCGGGTCATCAGAAAGGTGTTTACGGAGCCAAATTGATCTTCCATGTCGGGGGACTATTTTCAAAATAACATATGTGTACTTCTTCCTTCTTCTTCTTCTTCTTGACGACGGGTGTTCTCCGCAAATCGACACTTGGTGCCTCTTTTGCGTGCAAGCAGTGGAGGCCTTAGTCCTGCCAACCCAGTTCATCCAAGAAGGATTGTAATTTCCTGATGTCACTGCAAGTGTCCAGTAGTGTCTTTGGGCTGCCTAAGTGTGCTGTCTTTTGTCTCGTTACTCCTCTGCAGTTCAGCAGTACGTGAGTGCTCGTCTCCTCCTCCTCCAGGCAGGCCCTGCACAGTGGACTGTCAGAGATGCCTAGGTTATAAAGGTGTTTCTTAAAATACCCATGTCCAGTGAGAATACCCACAATTAGTCTCAGTACGTGTACTTATAGATACTCATTGTCAGGTGTGTATAAAAATGTGGATTTATCCTGTTTTAACTCTCTTCACACGAAACTATAACTTGCTTTACGTTAACGAATTGCTTTTTAAAAAACTTAACTGTCTTCCGCTCAGCGACAAGCGAGTGTTACCATTATAATATA